TTGATTGGGAACAAAAGATACAGAAAAAATATTCCTAATAGTTCTTTTTTGACTCCCCTTTTCCAAACAACCCATAAATTAAATGATCATTACTTGCTAGTGAGATCCTAGACTGCATATGCTTCCAAATGGAATTGAAAGGAGAAAAATCTAAATTATAATGGTAGTTTGAAAGTTCTATAGCTGGGTGTAACCCACTATGGCTGCTACTTGATATCCATCTATGTAGATTTCAATGTTGAAATGAATATTACTTGAAATAAAATAATTTAAATAATTTAATTAATGCAACATTTTAAGAATGCATTAACATGTATTTAGGTGCATTCATTGAAGTTACATCAATCTCTAGCTAAATTTATAATTGTCCTACAAAGAGGAATTTTGAGCATTGACAAATCTTCTATAACCATGAAAAAGGTAAACTTCAGTCTAGGCTGTTTCCAAGTAATAACAAATTCATAAATCAATAAAATTCAATGAATGAAAGGTTTCTGTCACATTAATATAGTATGTACCAACTCAGTATCGCATAGGGTCCTATCTTCTCAAGGTTTGTTCCTAATTGAACACATTCCAATAAACTGTGCTATTTCAACAAGACTGAGGCTGGGCATTTTAAACTACGAATGAAAAGTATTAGTACCCACCCATAAGGCTCTATGCCTAGAGACCTTGTAGCCTTTATAGTCCTGAACTTGGCATAATAATAATAGCTAACATTTATCAACTACTATCTATAAACTAGACAGTGTGAAATTTCTTCATATTTACCTTTCCAATTTTACTGGATTTCAAACGACATAAAAACAAAAGAATAATAATTTTTAAAATCTTCGTGAGTTTATATATACTTATCTTGCTTTGACCATTATCATGGTCACAAACATATCTAACACCCCCAAAGTTACCTTCTGCAGAATTACTATTTTTAAGACCTACCATATTATGAAATTTTGAGTGCATAATACCCTGTCATTGTATATATGAGCCTTTTCATTATCTATAACTTTATAGCATTGGGGTAAATGACTCCACATAGCCCCATCTCATCTTATGGAAAATGCTGTCATGTCATTTACTTCTATATGTTTGATTACATTCCTTTTATAAAAGGAATCACAAAGTGTTTATCATTTTTTTTACTAACTTCAGTATAATTATTCTCCAGTCCATGTTCCTATTACTCTGAAAGCATGCAGTTTTGTACTTAGAATCATTACAGCTTATGAATCTTTCAACTCACTATGGAAGGCACTGTTACACATAACTTATAGCTAAGGAAACTAAGAGCCCAGGAGGAGAATTGCTTTGTCCAGAGTCATAAAGATTGTAGGTGTCAAAGTATACTTTGGAATCAAAGTTGTCTGAGTTTTTTACCCTAGTTTATCAATGTGCTCTGAATACCTACATGTAGTCATGGACGTATAAATCCTACAGCCTATGTCAGTTCTTGTAATAGTCACTTCTTGGATAATGATAGTAAACTAAGATTTCTAAACAAAACTTCTAACTATAGGATCACATTTATCCTCTTTTCCTCTATTTATAAAATGAACCTGAGACTGAAAAACACTGAGCTAAACTCCTGGAATTCAGTTGCAGAGAGGGATGAGTGATGAGCAAAGGGGTCAAGAACAGGCTGGAGAAACCCACAGAATCAGCTGACATGAACAAGGGGGAGCTCATGCACCAAATTCTGATAGCTGGGAAAACAAGCATACGACTGATCCAGACCCCATAAATGTGGGTGCTAGTTAGAATGAATGACTGGGCAGTCTAGGGGGCCTCTAATAATGAATCAGTATTTATGCCTAATATATGAATGGACTTTGGGAGCCCATTCCATATAGAGGGATACTCCCTCAGCCTAGAGAAACAGGTCCTACCACAAATGACCTGACAGATTTTGATGATCTCTCATGGAAGGCTTCAACCTCCCTGGGAAGTGGATGGGGGATGGGATGTGGGGTCTGTGGGTGGTATGGGAGGGAGAGGGAACTGGGATTGATATGTAAAATAAGAAAAAATATTAAATAATAAACCTGAGAACATCTATGTAAAAATATGTTGTAGAAGTTAGCTGAGATGATACATTTAGAAGTAGCTAATACTTAGAAAATATTAACTAGTTCACCCAAGGTTGAAAATTCTTTGGGATACCCTACCAAAACTTAGCTGTCCATTCCTATCAAGGTCAAGACAATAGTAAGAGTATTATGAGTAAGTTCACTAGAGGTTTAGCCCAACATGAGTTTCTCCTATATTGTTCATCTCTCCTTTTCTGTTCTCTTTTCCAAACAAAAGCACACATTTGATAGGCAAACACTTACTAGTGATGACTTGATCACATAGAAACAAACAGTATCCTTGATCTTCATCAGCATAAATTGAAACGATTGGAATAGACCCAAATTGGTTAGTAAACCTAGGGCCAATGAACACCATGGTTAGTCTTCTGGAACAATGCAACTTCCCTGTATTTTTGTTTTCTTTTATTTTTATTCCTAATCCCTGAAAATAAAATCAGCTAACATCTGATATGTTCGTACCTGACACCGTGAGCTTGGCTGTCAGTAGGGTGCCACAGTTTCCAATTCAGAACAATAAAAGAACTGTTAATAGCCAAAAGAAAAAAAATACACGCATCCAGTGGAGCTGTCATTTGCACTTCTTTGTAACAGTCTAGACATACTGTTTGGAGTGTTATCCAATGTGATAATTGGTAAGTAGATCTTTGCCCGTGTGCTGGGTTTGCCTGAAAAGTATAATTTAGGGTTTCGTGCCATTGTTGGTCTGCTTTCCTGCTACCATTCTAAATTCAACAGTGCCTTGCTATTATTTTCAGAAAAGGAAATGTCATAAGGTCATCTCTGTATATAACAGGTAATTACTAAATATAAAAGATTACCTTGAATTCTATATTGTATAACTAGATGAAAATGTGATTCCCAATTTTGAATTAGTTCAAAGTTTAGTTTCAGAATCCAATTATGAAGATTAATATGACATTAGTATTTATTTAAATAAATCCATTCTTCTTAAGTCTGGATCATAGTTAATAGGATGAGACCTGTCAATGTCCAAAACTATTATTAGTACATTTGTTAATATTTACCAAGCACAACATTGCTTTATGCCAATAACAAAAAAATCACTATTAACAAAAATGTAAGGTACAGATGAGCTTGCTTTTAACACTCATTTTTGCATTGTTTGGTGTATGGGAAACCAATGCCAAACATTAGCAAAACCCTTTTAATTCATCTGATATTTTTGTTAACTTCTCTGTACATTTGGCTGTTTAATTATCAGAGGAGTAAAGAAATAATATGTTAATAAGCAACTGAGAGCATCTTATCAGATGAAGAGGTAGCAATGTCATTTAAAATTCAGGGAATATATGCTAATGTATTTTTTCTTTATGATGGAAGAAGAGAGGGACTCAGGTTTGAAACAGAGCCACATGTAAAAGTTACTCATAAGTGAAAAAGAAATGTGTTCATGGAGAAACAGAAAGAAAGCATGGTCAAAAGTCAACTAAACAGGGGAACAATAAAAAAAAAAACAAACTTCATTGCAAATCAAAGTACTCTCTATGGTACAGGGAAATGGAAAAGACCACATGTAAGGAAAATTATCTTCCTAGGTGCCCCAAGGCTACTCTTGCAAATGCTTACTCTCTCCATGTGGCTTACTTTCATTGCCCCCAGCTATGGGACATCCTCCTGGAACAGCCAAGTAGGGAGGCAGAGGAAGCAAAATTGCTGCAGGACACCTGAGCCTGTAACTCTCATCATCAGTCTTAAGGAGCCACTGATCTACCTGAAACTCTCGGTTCCACTGCAAGTTAAGATTAGCATCTTTATATATGTACCCTTGTTAACAAACTGAATGAGAGCTACTTGCCTACTCTAAGGACCTGGGAAAGACTTCAAATTTCTTGCTTATTAGATATGGAGTGAAGCATCCATATGCTCAGTTAATCACTCCAACTACTTCCCTCTTTTGTGGATTAGAACTCCCTAAGAGTTCTTGTATTTCACTAGTATAAATCTGCTGTTTAAACACCTGTTTTATCCCACTAAGTCCAGAATCCCAGGAAAGGGGGTTGTTTTCTTTCATTACCATCCCAATCAACAAACAAAGCATTTTGTACCTATTACATTGAAATAGTCCTCCCTTCCATATGTCTTGTGTGCTTCATCAATCCTTTTCCAAAGAGTGAAACTTCCATGTGACTCTTTTTTTTTTCTTCATACAACAATGGATACAGGAGTCCAATGCAAATGGTGAAGGCACCCAAAATAAGAAACTCATTATGTTGATAGATACTAGACTTAGAAATAACTGCAAAAATTTTCATTGCTTGCATATCTTCAGAAACACCCACATTAATCTTGGGGCAAGGAGAAATCCCAGTTCAGAAACTAGAATTCAGGTATATGGATACTTCCTAAGTTCCACAGTTAATTGGATGCACATTTGAAAATCATTGCCCCACATACTTTTTCACCATGCAAATCTCAACCTCTATTTTATGATTTATCAGTAGACAACCATATTAAAAGGATTTTTAAGTGCCAATAAAATCAGGTTGTCAGGTACTAGTTAACTGTATATGCACAGACAGAACTTTTTAAAGGACAAAAATAGTTATAAGTCTGACTCAGTATTCTCATTGAAAATGGAAAAGTATAACAACCATACCGAACAGCATACTTTAACTGAAAGCTACATTGTAGCTATGTAAACTATAGTCTCTGGTTAACAAATGCTAGAGATTTCCAAACAGAAAGATTCATAAACAAAATAGTTGCAATTTCTCTAAGATGCCCTATAAACTCAGTGAGAAACAATTCCTGAGAAACATGCAAATACAACAGGCTCTATTCTCAAAATACCATTGGTTAACTTCGCATTTACTATCTTTTTCCATTTTGCATATTTTCGACTGTTGTTTTCTTGGAAGATAGATACTGATTTGTTTTGTTTTTCAGATGGTTTGACTGACTGTGTGGACCCAGATTGTTGTCAGCAAAGCAACTGTTATGTAAGCCCACTCTGTCAGGGCTCACCAGATCCTCTTGACCTCATTCAACAAAGCCAGCCCCTCTTCTCTCAGCACACTTCAAGACTCTTCTATGATCGAATCAAATTTCTTATTGGCAAGGACAGTACTCATGTCATCCCTCAAGAGTTCTCATTTGACAGCAGGTATATCAAAATTTATTTTGTCCTTACTAAAAGTGCTCATGATTTTTCCTTCAGAATGAAAGAAAATTGTCCTCTAAAGATCAAGTGGTTTCTCATCTCTTCAAACATTATTGCATCTTTTTTATGAATTCTCTTGAATGCCTACACTGTTGCCAAATTGTTTCTAAAAGACAATTGGTCAGATTCTATATCATAAGAAATATAGGACATGTCTATATCTGTATGTAAATGGCTATTTGATGACAAAATGAAAGTATAATTTGCAAACTTACCATTGAACTTCTGAATTTTTTTGTAAGACAAAAACTTGAATTTCAATTGCTAAATTTTAGGTTCCGTTTCATGCTGAAAAGTGCTACTAGTTCAAAAGGGTTGAGTGATTTAATATCTTAATCGGAAATTCGCAAGGAGACATATGTCTTCTCAAAAAGCTCACATGAATGAATTTTCTCTAAAGATCTGACAACAAGGCACAACCCATTTAAATCAATTCATTTATTTTAAGTGAATACCAATGAGCAAACTCTTATTATTAATGACAAACTTTAATAATTAGTACTAGGTATAGCTAAGTCTGTAAGTTTAATTAGTTTAGATAACAAAAATGTCCTCCTTGGAGCAGGAGAGATGATTTGGTGATTAAGAGCACTTGCGCTTTCAGGTGACCTAAGGCCAGATCCCAGAACCCACATGGTGGCTCGCCATTGTCTGTAACTCCAGTCCCAGGAGATCTGACACCCTTTTCTGACCTCTTCAGTCCCTTGCATACTTTGTATACAAACATACATTCAGGCTCACAACAAACAAACAAACACACACACACACACACACTCAAACAGACACAGACAATACTACATCCCAAAAGTTGCAGCATTTCAACAGTTTGAGACCAGTGCCAATCTAAGAAAATCACGATTCAATGTTCACCTTTATACAGTATAAAGGGGAAAAATAAAGATGTACATGTGTACATGAAAACTTTACTCAATTCCCTTCCCTTCAGTTGAATTCTAGAATTCTCATTGGAGACTATTTTTTTCTTTATTTTATTACCATGTCATTCTGACCTTCTGAGCTTCCAGTATAAACTAAAACCAAAGTCAACATATCTCAAGAAAGGGTTTTTCTTTTAGGAACTCTAGACAAAGTTTTTTTTTTCCACCCAAAATTCAGTAATCCCCTCTTCAAAACGTTTTCCTAGATTAGTAACAACTCTGGTCCATCTTTCAGAGGGAAATAATCAGTAGGATTATTTAGATATTGGCAACTTATTTCTGGAACATGAAAAAAACAAAAAGAATTAAAGGCAATCATTATCCCCATTTTCTTATTTAAGGGGGAGGGCAAGTTAGTTCCTGGTTTGACTGGGCTTTCTCATTCTTTTATAAAACACTCCAAGTTATCATTTGGCTCTGCAAGTCACATTTAAATTCTAAACAATGGGTCTCCATCCAGCGGTCTCTGCTATTAAGAGTCTTTGCTGTCAGAAAAGATGTCCAGGGAGAGTACCTGAATACAAGCAATCTAACTGTTTTCTCTGACAAAAAAAAAATGCATTAATTTTTCCTTGGTTTACCTTTGGGCAAATTAAGTTCATTTTTGATCACATATGTAAATGACTATTACAATTTCTCTAGTACATCCATATAATACTTAATAGTTTGCAAAGCACCCAGGTACATACTATTTCATTTTATTTTCACAGTATCCATGTGAAATGGGGCAATTGTATTTGCTGTATTTTATATATGAGGAAACTGAGTTTCTAAGAGACTAAATCACCCAGACATCAAGTTTGTGTGGTAGCAACCCCTGCACCCTTTGCATTACACCACAGCTGCACCTTTTTCTCTTGTCCTTAAATTTGTCTGGTGACAAGAACCAAATTTATCTTGGATAAATGGCCTAAGAAAATCTGAAACCGAACAGTTTTTAAAAACAACTTCAGCTTACATTATTTTAATAGCATGAGTTACAATCGTTTAATCAGCGCTAATGAAGTACAAGTGAATGCCCTGAAATGAACATTTTATTACACAGCAAATGTTATTGTGTGTGTATTTGACCTCTGCTGACCTTTGATCTGTGATATTTCATCTAATTCTCATAAAGTGCTCATGGGATGATTTGTTAAATACGTCATATTTTAAATGAGGACATTTAGGACTTAAGGAAGTGACTTCAACAAAAAAAAAGTCATAATGGATATAAGAACCTGGATTTGAACTCAAGCACACTAGTACTGAAAGACTGATCTAAAATAAGTCATGGCTCTCACACAACCTTGTCTTTAGACTAGCTTCCCCTGGATAAATATAAAACATGTAAATGCCATAATTAGCCATATCACTTTTGTTTTATTGCTTTTGCTACATAACTGAGAGATAGCTGGATAGACAGGTAAAGAAAGCATTGCCAGCCGGGTGTTGGTGATGCACGCCTTTAATCCCAGCACTTGGGACACAGAAGCAAGAGGAACTTTGTGAGTTCAAAGCCAGCCTGGTCTACAGAGCAAGTTCCAGGACAGGTTCCAAAACAGTACAGAGAAACATTGTCTCAAAAGAAAAAGAAAGGGAGGGAGGGAGGAATGAAGGAAGGAAGGAAGGAAGAAAGAAAGAAAGAAAGAAAGAAAGAAAGAAAGAAAGAAAGAAAGAAAGGAAGGAAGGAAGGAAGAAAGAAAGAAATGTTAATGGCCTCATTTCCCACACAGCTGACTTGCTGCTGCATATTGTACCACAATCAGAAGACTTGGTAGAGCTACACACAGCAGTATATAGAGATAGAAGGGTTGCAAGGGCACAGGCAAATGATTCTTAACCCTTGTATACCATAAGGATAGCAGTACTCAATCAGCTATACTGGCACAAAAGCATGTGAAATGCATACCTACTGTGCCTGTGATGTGTTGGGGGATATTCGATCATACTATGAACCCCAAGTTTGCATTTGTGTTAATTAAATAGAATTAACATTGGGGCAGGAGGATGCATTAACAACTAGTGAACAGAAAGTAATTGTAGAGCCTCAGAGGGCATCCCAGAGAAATAGAGAGGCACATGAAGTAGTAGGGTGGGATTTAGAGTGGCACAGGTTTGTCTGCTTTGGCAAAACAGAAGCACAGGTCTTCTGTGGACATGAGCAAGGAGAAAGGTTAGCTAGCTGTTACTTAGACTCTCTGAGCTCACAGGTTTTCACCCCAGCCTTTGAATCTCAAGTCTTATTCATAATTAGAATGAGAGAGATTTAGTTACAGCTACCTTTAGAGGGAACCACAGGGCCAGTGACTACAGGAGCAGAATTCTCTCCAGACTGGCCAGAGCCTCCAGGCCACTGCTAGAAGCAAGCTGGTAACTGCAGAGTTGCAGTTGCTGACTGAGATAGCAGTATAATAGGGCACAAGCACTGTGCTGAAGACAAAACAGAATTTCTTCTGCAGCCAGCCCCAGATCATGACACAGAGACTTATTATTAGTTATGACTGCTTGGCCTTTGTTTAGGCTTATTTCTGGCTAGCCTATCCCTCCTCTGTCAACCTATTGGCCATTTAGGGTTTTTTATTAGAATAGTCAGATGCGTTGGGCAAGCAAGGTGAAACAGCAACACATCTTTACAGAAGTAAACAAACGCATCATAAACAAAAGCAACACATCTTTACATATTTAAGCAACTATTCTGGGATGCAAATGCCACAGAGCTTTGTATAATTAAACAAATATTCTATTCCACACAGTGATGGTGTAATGTCTGTGAAGAGGAAAATTGCCCACAGAAAAAAATCTCTAGGAAACTCAACTGAATTACCCATTTTCCCCCCTAAATACAACTGACCCTGTAGCTCAACTTTCTTTGTTTTCTTTAGTCTACTCTTAAACCACATAGTCTTTGTGCCCTGTACTTATTACATTTTAATAATGTAAATAGGTGAACAGAAGAGTTATTGATCTTTAGTGTCTAAGCATTTAATCACTATTAATAATGTAGAAGGTTTTTATAAATATGTAAAAACAAGAGTACATTAAACTAAATGACAGCAGTAATTTGCAAAGCCAGACATTTCGCTCACCATCACTAATGGAAATGTGCATTTAAAAACATCTTACCAGGGTTAGTGCAACCACTGACATTAGATCTTACCAAATTCATTTATCTAGGTAGTAACAATGAGAGGTTCATCCCCACATCTCTCTTCCTCAAGTGTCTTTATCATATGTTGTTCACAATCATGCCACATATGTATTTTGTTTATCCTTTTTGAAGTGAGAGACCAAATATAAAAATTTGAATATAAAATGCTTATAGAAAATTCACAAAGGTGAGTACTGCCAGGCACACAGTTATGACATGGGCAGTCTGGAGCTGAGGGACAGTGGTTCATCAGGATGGGACATGCAATGTCTGTCTAGAGCATCACTGTCTCCCTTATGCCTGGGTCATTTCCCACTTTTCAGGTGGCATGTGTTTCCCTATTGGCATTTGAGTTTTTCACCTCTGATCTAAGTAATTTCTGTGCTTTTGCTTGAAAAAAAAATTGAAGAGTATGTGTGTCTGATTACTTTCTCCAATTGTCTTCATATATTGGTTATCATTTTACTGAATTTCTAAACTTTTATTTTGGCTTTGCAATAGAGAAAAAACAATGAGATAGAAACCAGGCGGTGGTGGCGCACGCCTTTAATCCCAGCACTTGGAAGGCAGAGACAGGTGATCTCTGAGTTTGAGGCCAGCCAGATCTACAGAGTGAGTTCCAAGACAGCCAAGGCTACACAGAGAAACCCTGTCTTGAAAGGCAAAGAGAGGGGGAGGGAAGGGGAGATAGGAATCGCATTAGCAGGAGATAACACTTAGTTTACTGAGTGCCTTTGTATATTTCTTTTTTTTTTTTTTTTTTTTTTATGTATTTTTTTTTTTTTTTTTTTAAAAAAATAATTAAATTTAAAAAAAAAATATATATAATATTTTTGTGTTTTTTGTGGTGTTTTTTTTTTTATTTTTTTTTGGTTGGTTGGGGGGCGTTGTTTTGGGGGATTGAAAAAGAATTAGTAACTTTTGGTTGTTTGTGTTGGGTTGTTTTTGTTTTGGTGTTGTGTGTGAAGGATGAGTTTTTTTTTTGTTGTTGGGGGTTTTGTG